TGGCAGAGGAGTATGAAGGAGATCACGAAATGCTTGGGTGCTGTCGGTGCTACTCGCCTTCCAGGATGGGGACCGCGTGATCCTCACTGTGCCTGGTTGGAGACACTACAAGATATGGCTGCCAACCGATGTCAGTGGCGTTCTTGTTGTCAGTTTCTGTCCAGATTGCCTGAGTGAATGTCTGGAGGTGTAGGCACCTCGGAATGATTGTGTTAAGCTAGCACTAAGTCCCTCCCCGTCCACCCCTATTCTTTTCTTTACAATTAGGCTTCCAAATAAATCATGGTTGTACGGCATTGAAGCATCGGTGTTGAACACTGATGTCATGCTGTCGATGATGATGATGATGATGACTAGAACAACTATAGGCGCTATTATAAGCAAAATATCCATGCTGCCGCTACTAAATGACATGCGCTGACTCTTTTGTGTCACGGAATTCTGTTAGATTAGCCCAAGAACTGAGGCTTAACGCTTGTCCCCTAAAGTAGTCCACACAACGTGGTAGTATTCGTCCGCTGTCGCTTGAAATCATCCTACGTAAGCATTCTGGTTATAGTGGTCGCCCACCGCAGTCTGGTCAGCGCTTGCTATTTGAACTCAGATCTGTTGATCAAAAGACCACTCTGTTTCATCGTGAGTGGCATCTGACTGTCTTACTCGCCCCTGACAGAAGCCGACGTCTCTTCGACTTTTCCACTGGTCACAAGCTCCCAAGTAGTTCACAGATATTGGTACAGTGAGCCAACGCTCAAGTTGCCCTGATCCATCGTTCACGTAGCACCCGGATCGGTTCGACGTCGTAATTGTGCTTTCCCAACCAACTACATTGACCACCGCATTTTACAATGATGGATCGCTACTGCGCGATCTGTTCCTAAGTTACACAACCATTCCAAATTCCTTTGGAGGCACGAAATCATGTGCTGTCTACACCAGACGTGCTCAATGGTGAAAGATCTGGTTACCTTCAAAACTCCAGCAATTGAAGCTTGATTTCGTATCCGCCCAAGGCTGACAAGAAGAAGACCATGGCCATATAATTCTGTACGCAGTGTAACCAAACCTGTTTCAGCAACTTCCGACCAGCCTTCTCCAGCCTCACTAGATACTGGACCGGATGATCGGACCTGCACCAAAGGCCCGCGTCCATGACGACGTTCTGAGTGCGCCGTACAGCATATGTTTTACGGGTTTCTTCCCGCCTCATGAATCATCTACCGACTCAGGAGGCCCGACGCATGATAGGCGATCACTAAACACAAGTGGGTGCTATCCTGTACGACCTCGTGGGCATTCGACCGCGTCTGTCACTATCTCGGCGTTTTATTCAGCATTGTGTCTACCGAAGAATCCTTTGGACCCAACACCTGGCTGGCGGGCGGTGGAGAGTCAATGGAGTCATGTGCGATCACGAACTCGGAGACTCAATGGAATTTCCTGATGAAAAACCTTTGTTCACTACTTTCGTCCTTCCAGCTCTAGAGTGCACCGGACGTGTAGGGTTTCTATGCCTGGCTGGAAAAGATCATGCATCCGGCTGTCATCAGAACGTTGATTGTGAACTACCGGGGAGGTAAGCAGCGGCTAACTGTATCTTTTTCGCTAACAGCCAAGCGCAAGGTGACATGATTCTCGTTTGCAAGACTCATATGCAGGCATCCATGATTATAACTCACAATCTACGGCAAGATGTGGGGAAAAGCCTTTGAGATTCGGAACGCCTTTGCATGATCGGAAGTACCTGTCTTTTCGAACGTGCTAAGTCGTTCTGAAATGCTTCAAAAGACCTGTTACCATATGGTTCCTTTGTTATTTCATACAAGACGGGGCTACGTCGGGACGGAGGACCTACGGGGGTGTCCGATTGGTTGAAAACATTGAACACTTAATGCAACAAAGCGTAGAGATTTAATAACGAATAGGTAGTGCATAACAGTGGAACATCATGAAGGTTTTGAAGGATTAACGTTAAGTCTGGAGGTGAAATCATCAAGGGGTGAAATGTCAGTGGTTGAAGTGTAAATTCATTTACCGGAAGGTCAGTGGTTTGGACCCGACCTGTCTAGGCTTTGGCAACATGGCAGTATCCCAGCTCTCGTGCTTCTTTGGCATTTAGGCACCGAAAAGGTGCTACAGCTGAACGATTTTTTATTGGAAGGCTCAAGAGAAAACTGAAAAGAGTTTGGGAAAAAAGGCAGTATTGGAGGGAAGTGATGAAAATTATTCTGTTCTGTAACGGGACTAAAACTTGATATATACAACTAAAGGAGCATGAGCGAATCTTACGACTGAACGAGTTTAAGGTTGGGACGGGAGAAACGAGTTCATAGAAGCCGGTTCTGTGGTGATAATAGTTGGGTAGCAAGAGGATTTTATACTTCAGTGGGGAGGAAGGACGTACAGATTACCACTCAAAGACGAAGCCGACTGGACACACTTGCAAGAACTGAAAGATATGCAGTGGAATTATGGTATTCTGTTATAAATCGGATCTGGCAGGTGCACAGACGAGAGTTTGAAGGGGAAGAAATATATACGAGTGTGAAAACTAGACTCAGACTGCGGCAATCATGAAGACTGCGTGAGGAAGATAGCTACGGTTGAGTGATTGTAAACTGGAATGAGTCAATAAAAATCGGAGGCCGACAAAACGCCGGAGATCTCATTCGTGATTGTTTCTGAACGTTCAGTGTACTGGTGGCCAACGCGCGGTCACCACTAGCCTGAAGTTAGACAAATCTTTAGGAAGAGTAAGGGCGGAAGCCTGGGGGTCCAGTCATCCACCAAAGCGTGAATACAGTCAGAATCACAAGTATGGAAGCCGTTGATAAACAAGGATGATGAGGAGATGTAGTGACCTTGTAGGTTGGTGAGATGGAGTACCACTAAAACTTACATGGATCTAGTGGTCTGCCAGGGTGTTCTCAATCCATTACGATCAAGCTGAATCCCCATCTTAACGCTTTGTGAATCAGATCGTCGTGCTATAATTCAAGGTATCAGTTTCAAGAGGTCGAGCGGTGGCGCCCAGTCTCATATTAAAGTTGTTCCTTTCCAGATCACCTGAGAGTTTAATTGCCAAGGTCGACTCCAGGGATTGAAAAAACAGAACTGATGAGATACGGCTGTTGTCTTTCGGATCGAATGACTACGCTGGGGAATGGAGAACACCTGCAAGCTTTTTCCACTAAAATTTAAATCAGAAGATGGTAGGATAGAAGGGACGAGATATGATTGAGCGTGTTTTGAAACTAAGGTAACGAACGGAATAAGGCACCATCAAGGTCCGGAGACCTTTGACTCAGTAATTTATCCGTCCGTGGTAGTTCACACCATCAATAATTTAGCTGATGCCGAGCCATTTTCACTGGCTATTTTGGCGTGGCATAACAAGCCAACGGAAAACTTGAATAAATTGCGTTGTTTTGGTCTCAGCTAAAGCCCACACGCATGTCAGCGAACGTATTTTAGACCGTTTGGTTGAGCTTTATACTTTGGTGATCGAATGTCCGTGGTACCTAGTATGCGGCAGAGCTCTTCCAGTGATACACAGGTGAAGTTGCTGACATTTCGGAATTTAGTAATGATCCCGAGATGGCTCAGTTGTTAGAGCGCGAGCTTACTGACTCGAAGGTCCGTGGTTCCAACCCGAACTCTGAATCCCGACAACTCTTCTATAGGCTTGGATAACCTGGTAGTATTCTAGCCCTCGTGCTTCCTTTGGGTGGTGTGACAGCTAGATATCTGAAGGGCGTTACAGCTGAACTATCATTATTATTATTTATTTTATTATCACTCTTAGTAATACCACTTGTGGAGCGTCTGCTTCCATAACGAAGTCCTAGGATGGCCACATCAACCTATTCTCAAGGAGCTTGCTTTGGTTACAGCGTTCTTTGTTCATGTGAGAGTCCCAGTGTCCAACAAAAGCGGAGAAAAACCACTGGTGAGAGCCCTGTAAGATCAAATCCATTTTTTTCACTTGTTAGTGCTCTTGACAGTGCTTTCCCCTCAGCCGTCTTTGAACATTGGGGCTCCCGCATGAACAGAGAGCCAGGACAATGCAACCTCACTAAGTGACGCGTTACGTAGAATGGCCGTTCTATCTTTGAGTTCATTATACAGGACCTACTCAAATTAACTGGAAAGTGTCCCAGTTCAGCTCAACACTCCAAGCGAAACGAAAATAATGGATAGTCACAACTATATATCGGTTGTCTCTAGGACATAGACGTCGGTACATAGATGTCATGCAACCAGGAGGAAATAAGGAGGCTGGTATTCTATCAGGTCAGCCAAGCTTGAACAAAAGAAGTCGGAAAGTCACTGTTGGGTTCAAACCATGAGTCTTGTGGTTAATATCTCGCATCTCGCTATTTCGCGCCTAGTTGGCGTCCCTGAATTCCGCAGTTCATTTACTCATGGTAGCATAGCGGTTTCGGAAAAGCACCCTTGATGGTCACATTTTGCAAGTTGGTTGTCAAATTTACCTTTCTGTGGGAGTGATTTCCTTTGTGTCATTTTATGACCCATTCGATGACCGCCTAGATCCATCGCTCGCAAACTGAGTTCCACAGCTTGGCTGTGACTGTAATGCACACAAAAATGTAGGTGACCAGACACATCACTTTCAACTTGTTTGATTCAGTCTATTTCAGCTTTTTCAAACCATTTGCATACGCTTGACCTACTGCTTTACGGCTGCTTTATTGTTCCACACAACTGCCTATCGGAAAAATCATGTAAGTGAATGCGCTTACGTGCTTTTAATGTACTGTACCTTCTAAGGTCTGTTGATATTGAAAAGTTCTACATGTCTAACGAGTGTTCTGCGGACTTTGTCAAAGAGATTAGCAAGAAAATGCAAATCCCTCATCGAATTTCATTTGGTGCCGCCGAACCTTCTCTTCCCTTGCCGAATAACGGACCTCATGAACGCTCAGAGATGAAGGTTCCTGAGCGGATTATGATTTCCGATTCTCCTGATGATTGGAATCCCACAAGAGAAGTAAATATAAGTAAGGTTATGTTTACACAATACCATGTATCTATTTTTTCACTACGAACCCTGGCAATTCATGAGACAAATTTTTAGGATGATCGGTTACATAGTATTTGACCAGCATAGACGGCCTCTGCCTTTAACTTCTGAATCTTTTATCGATAGAATTGTCTTTCTCGCCCATATTATCTAAAAGTCGTGCGCCTCTCCTACAGCTCGTATGCGGTGCCATAAAATTCGACCCATTAGGTTAGCCCCAGAAATCAGTGCGTGCGCAGTTGTTGCTGTCATTTTTGTGCGATGTGTAATCCTGCGCAGTCGTGGATTCTTGGTTGGTTGTTGCTTGTGTTTATGTCAGGTCCAGTTGATCTCTATTCCTTCCTTTATTTTATACACCTAATTGTAGCTCATTTGCTCTTACATAACCCGTTTTCATCAAATGATAAGTGAAAGCCATTGAAGTAATGATGTATTTGTTCCTACCTCGATGCATCGGGTTCATATTTGCCACATACAGCAGCGTGTCACGCCAACCCAGTCAAACCAGGCGGTTTGTTCAGTCCTCCCCTTCCAAACGAAATGATGTTTCGGCTCTATCACCGAGTGTTTGCGCTATCAGGGGTGTGGCTTCTTGAGTTAATTATTCTGTTCGTTTCAAACAGTTCCTCCGGCTAAAAATCAGTTCATTGATCGCAGTTTCTCCAGCCTCCATTGAGGATAAGAAGAATAAATAATGCGACGTCTTGGAGGCAGTGGCCGATTTAGTTCAGAAACCTCGAAAGCTTGTGCTTTTCGAGTACGCGGAGGAGTGAGAGCAATGCAGTGAAGGCGACTTGGTGCAATACGGAGACACGTCACGATCATTGTTCATGTGTAACCATTATCCATTCACGGGTGAAATAATAATATGGCCTATTTTCACAAAACGGTGCTCGAAATGAATGTAGTGCCCACACTGGTGTCTGGTGTCAATATGACACCCGTTGTAACTGGGCTTCTGACGCCACTGATTTTTCGTCATCTTACGGCGGCACGTGAATCCTTGACTCGTGAGCATCAGATGTGATCTTGACTGATAAGAAGCTACGCTGACCTCACACTCCGTCAGGTTTTAGACAACCCATAATCTTGGTGTTCCTTGACTCCAAGGGTGCGTTCGAGTCTGTCGACCGTTCGATACTCTTAACTGCAATTGCTCAACAGGGTATGCTCCAGAAGTTTGGGAACATTATCCGATCCCTATATTTACATACTCCTGGACGTGCGACAGTGTAGGGTGACTCTCTAGAANTACAGACACTGGGGTCCGAAAAGGATGTCCACTCTCTCCAAGCTTGTCCAAACTCATCGTCAATGAAGTAATGAGGCGGAAGACGGAAGGTTTTCAAAGCCTCGGCGTTCAAGTCGTTGCCGGTGAGAACCTTGTCGGTCTGGATTACGCAGGCGATATCGTTCTCATCCTTGAAGATGAAGGCGAAGTACAAGCCCTTTCTGAAACAACAGACCACCACCGCAACATCCTTCGGCATGCTTCTTGCACATCTACATTCAAGTCATGCTAGGGAACGTGCAGTCTCTGGGCATGCCCCTTACAACTTGAGAGGAATCACGAGGATGTGGAGAATGTTACATACCTCGGTAGTTGTATTAGGTCTGATGGAAATACGTTTGATGAAATCAATGCAAGAATCTCAAAGACCCTAATCACGGTAGCTAATTTGCGTCACTTGTGGCATCGAAAAGGCATACCGCTGTCCTGAGGGTCGCGTGTACCAGGCTACAGTAAGGGTTGTATTGTTGTATGGCTGCGTGACATGGTCTCTGAGTATAGATGATGTGAGGCGTCTTCAGGTTCCTGATCACGCGCCTCAGAAGCGGTACTGGTGTCGGATGGCGCCAACGAATTCATAACGAAGTAATTGGACCCCGATAGCTCGATCGGAGTTGGAGGTGTAGGTACCCCGGGTTGTTTGTAGTAAGCTAGCACTAAATTCCTTCCCCGTCCTGATTCATTCTTTTCAGAATAAGGCCTTAAAGTAAATCATGGATGTATGGCAGCGAAGCATCGGTGTTGAACACTGATGTCATGTTGTTGGTGATGATGATGATGACACTGAAACTGGTGTTGTTCGTCGCGCCTCCTTCCGAATGGTGCAAACATAGGGGTGGACAATGTATGACGTTGCAGAATGGTATGAATGAGATTACGAAGAGTGTGGGTGTGGCTAATGCGATCCGCCTTTCAAATTGCGGTCCACATGGTCTTCCCCTGCGGTTGGCTGGAGACATTAGAAGGAATGTCGGCTTATCGATGTCAGTGGCGTTCATGCAGCCAATTTCTTTCAGGATTGTCTGATTGAGTGCATGGATTTGTATGCACCTCAGAATACTTAGGTTGGTGTCTTATGATAATGATGATGACCATATTTACCAATTAGACTAACTACATGGGTCCTTTGATTTCGTCCCTGAACCTTCGATTGGGAAGTGTTGTTCATCCTGATACTGGCTCATCTGAAGCATCTTGAATGCCGCCTGTGACCAAACCCAGTGACCGATTAGGGTACCAAATTTGGCGTATTGCGAAACCCTTGAGGGTAGCTAACCATCGCACAAGTGTAACAAAGCACGCAAAGGGCTGAGATACTGCTCTGCTGCCCAACCCGAGACTGGATCAGTCGAGATTGAGAGGTTGGGTTTGAACAACGGGTCTTCCGGTCACTAAGTTCGTAGCCTAACCACTGGGCGTTCTCGAACTCTCTAGCAGAGTCAACAGCCTTCGGGTTGTCTCGTTCTGCAGTTACCAACACGACTGAGTTGACTAGTAAGGGGTTTCATGCGTTGCTTCAATTCATGGACTGGCTACTTGTGGGCTGTCTCCTTCCGACACAAGGCTGTTGAAGAGATTTCTACAGGGCAAACGAATAACGATACCTAACCTGTGTAACTTGTGGAGTGTGGCTGGCTGATCTATCGAAGAGGAGTGAACTTTCCAGAAACCAGTCGGAGTCCCTCACCGTTGCTTATCCGATATCCCCACCAGACGCACATGATGTTGTAGAGACGCTGATCATCACACAGAGATTTTTCTAGGGTTTTCCATGAAGTAGAACAGATCGGATCTAAAACTGTAATCCATACCCTTGACAGTCACTTACCTCAAATCAGCGCCACAAATATCAGAGGGTGGCAAACACTGTCCTGGTCTTCCCAGTTCGTGAAGTGATTTCGCCTTTCGCCAGTCCGCTGAAACTGATGCAGTCGCCCAGGTAGACAAACTTATGTACCACATCGATCGGTTAACTAGCAGGCATGACTTTCGGGTTTTATCCCACCGTATTGTAGTGGCACTTTAAACTCTACAGGAACTGTACAACAAAATTATTTAGTTTAGCCCCAGGATCATTTCGATATCCGAGGTATAGAAGTATCAGTTCATGAACTACGAAGTTAAAGAGAAAAGATGGTAGAGGGCAGCTTGTCCGACACTACTGGATGTGGTGAACACAAGAAATAATCTTTCGTGGACAGGTACGCGTCCATGGAAGAGGCCTATAGGGCGTTTCTAAGAGACAGGAGGTAATAAAAAACATCTCTCATCGTCAGACACTGCCACAGTTTGTGATGATCAGCGGAGTCATAAGCAGATCTAAGATTGAGGTAGACTCCTTTCTCGTCGTCTGAAGGATTGGTACTGTTCCATCACTTGTCGCAAAGTGAAGGTGTGGTCAATGCAACCCTGGCTAGGGCAGAAGCCAGCTTGATTCTCGTGAATCTGACTCCCCACGTGATGGATAAACCTTCGTATGACAATACCAGAGGGCACCTTGGAACCTATGGCCATCAGTTTGATATCCCGGTGGTTTTCTCACGATATTCTTGCATCCTTTTTGATGGTAGGAATCACCGTCGATGTGCTCCACTCCGGCGGAATATTATACGAACTCCAGACACTGGAATGAAGTAGTTAGAATAACCAACGGGGACTCGTAACCTTTTTTGTAGAGTATGCATTCTGTTATGAACATCTGGATCAGGTGCTTTGTTGTGCTGAAGCAGAGTAATTACACGCTGTACTTGCGTTTTGGATGACGGAATGATATTCACGTTCCAATCTAGTTCGTTTGGTCCTAGAGGTTTAGTTGATGGGGCCACTTGATTTTTTCAATGTTTATTCCGTCACTCAAGGCGGCGTTTCTGTGAATAAATTGAGGTCCAATCTTTCGCGTAGTTCCACTAGTAGTCCCACTAGCACCTATCTTCTTTGGACCGGTTGATCGGATTAGCTGGAATAGGGTGTGATTATTTTCTGTTACAAAAGCTTTCTCGAGCCCTCGGGCCGTTGCGATCCACCAGCATCCTCTGTCAATCCTTACGCTCTTCATTACCCGGCTTTTTGGGGATATGAGCGCGCCGTCACGGTCGCCGCCTACTGTTATCGTTTACTGGCTTCGATCTGATTGATGTGGCAAGATTCATTGTTCGCTGGGATGTGGGACCGACCTCGGGAGGTGGTTTCAACAGTGGTGAGTATACCTTCTTCCGTTTTCTCAAATCGTCATCTAAATTGCCACCCCCCCGTGAGGCCCTGGAATCTAAGCCAGCAGAAACGCTTTGCAGGTAATGAGCTGGATGGCTTTGCATCAGCCGGCGTGTTTCAGAGGAAGACCATGTAGATATGGATACTCTCACAATATTTTACCAGGAGTCTATTGACCTCCTAAATGAATGACAATCTTGTATCGGGGCTTTCCACCGGTAGCTGATTGTCATATGGTCCAAATAAGTCCCCTGCTGGTCTGTTGGTGGTGGTCTCCAAGTCACACGGTATGAGCCCTGGTGCTGAAAGTTTGTGGTGGATAGAAATAACTGGTGTTCAGTCGCCTCCATTTATCTGTGCGATTGGCGTCAACCCCGAATCCGCTGTAGTGATGGGTTTCTTCAGGACTTAGTCGGTTAACCTGAGCATACAAATCGCCTGGCAGAATCGAGATATCTGTACTCGCCGACTGATGT